AATCAAGCACAAAGGTCCCTGGATTAGAAAGCTTCTCTGGAATTCGAGACACTGACTTGTTCAGAAACAGTCACATTCTTCTTCTTCTTTGGAACTGTGCCTAAGAGAATTGCACTGATATCTCTGGTAAGAAATGCTCCTTCCTCAAGACTTACACCATTCACAACCATCCTTTTTACATACCTCTTTGATGCATGTGAAAGCTTGACTACATCAATAAGAGGAATCTCAACCATCAGCTTGTCTATCATAGCCTTGCATCTGGCTTCTTCTATCTCTTGTTTAGACTTCCTAGGATGCTTCGGGAAGGGTATCTTGGGTTATACGCTTGTTCCTTGATGTTATTTGCAGTTACAAGCGAAAAATCTTCATTATGGGGTGGGTGACGACCGTCACCAGGGTGAGTTACAATCACGTCCTCCCTGTTCCCACAGAACAAATCCAGAGACAAAAGCTCACAAAGAGCAATATCAACACAAGAAATTCAACAAGAGAGCAATACAAAAGCTTAGAAATAAGCAGACACAAACGACCTTCAGTTCTCGAGGATTTTGGCCACCAGAAGAAGATCCCACCGTACAAATCCAAGATAAAAAAAAAAGTCAACAACAACTCTGCTGAATTTCAGCTCAAACAGAGAAGATTTCACGGTCAGATTCTCCAAACACTCAAGATAAAACCTGCTGAAAATTAGAAATCGCCTACAGAAAATTGTCCGCTAAAACTCAGATCCACAAGAAACCAACCGTTGAAAAACAAATTCCACCATTGAATCTTAATCCCACTCAGTCACGAAGCTTTCCATAAAGTTTCAGCCCGATCAGAAAACTTTAAAGCCTTCAAATACCGTCTTGACGAAACTGGACAAAAACTGACATTTTCTCTCTTGCATCTCTTTTGTTTTCTATAATTCTCTGGTGGTGCTAACCAAAACAAATTAGATTAAGTGTGCTTATATAGGCAACATCTCACAACCGTAAGCCTAATAACAATTTAATCGATTATCATCAGTAACCTAACACTTAGTTCTTTTTCTAACCAAACCCAAATGATTTCCCCACTAGGAGAAACACCAATACATTTGAATCTTCTAAACTTGCTTATTTGGGCAAACGATGAAAATATTATAGACTTGGACTTGGTTCGGAAATTAAGGCCAGAAGTCTTGTGTAATTGAGCTTGGTCCATTTGCTAGGTCTTTTGATCTTTTGAGGGCTCGGTCCATGTTTGAAAATGTTGTATTTCATCATATGGTTCTTGGGCTTCTAAGCATGAGTGATCTTCTCTTGGCTTCTCGTGCTCGGCTTGAATGATGGCTTGTTTTATGCTTTTATTATACGTACGTTGTTTGGAGTTATTTGTTAATTTATTTTTCATATTTTATTATATATTTATTTTACTATTATGTTTATATTTATTTTTATTTTATTTGTTTTGTCTTACTGTTATTTTTTTAATTAAATTATTTATACTATTTTTATCTTAAAATATATCGATGTATTATGAAGTTATTAACATATGCTAATTATTTAAAAACTTTATCCATATTTATATGTTGTTATAAGTATTTAAGTTTTCTACTACATATATATTTCTATTCAATTGGTTTTTACCTTTTTTACATTGCTTATTTCCAGCGAGACCAACAATCTCAATGCTTTAAACTGAATTTCTTCATTTTTCATAAGTTTTGGAAAATTCTAATTCATTATGAAGTACAAATAATCATGATTTTATTAAAAAAAATTTCTTTCGTATAGATCAAGTTCATTTCATGCCTTATGATTAAACACTTTAGTCTTCTTTATTCATATAAAACTTCTATTTATTTTTACAATAAAATAGATATGAATGATTTTACTTTAACTTTATATATATATATATCTTTCCGGTTTTTTTTAAGTTTGATAACTCTGCTAGTTCTTCCGTCATCTTTTTTATTTGTTTGCATTCCAACTCTTTTTTCCACATTCTCTTTGTTTACATTTGAAATAATATTTTGATTTATTTTTATTTCGTAGAGAATTTATAGTTTTTATGATTTGTAAAATAATTATTTATTTTATATAAATAATTTTACTTTAGTTTTATACATAAATCTTCTCAATTTTGTTTTTTTAATGTTTGATAATTATCCTTCGCAAGTTCTTATGTCATATTTTGATTGCCTTCCAATTTTTTTTCTACATTTTATTGTTTTTTATTCTAAATAATATTTCCATTTTTTCGTTAATAATTTCTTTTTAGTTTCTATGATTCGTAAAATAAGTAGTTTTTTTTACTTTTAAATTTATTTTATATGAAGGCCTAAAAAATACATACCTAAAATATATAGAAGCTCATAAAAAAGAAATAGAAGCCCATAAAGAAAAGAAATAATTGCTGGGCTAGATAGCTTTATTGGAGATAAAACTTTTTATAACACCTTCTCAAGCACAATAGTCCTAAGTTTTTTTTTTCCTTTACTATAGATCAAGTTTATTTTTATGCTACATGATTTTAAACTTTAGTCTTCTTTTTTTACAATAAAACTTTAGTCTTTTATTTGTGAGAAATCTTTATTCATTTTACAACGCAAAATAGATAGGAATAATTTTATTTTAGTTTTTTGCATACATTTTCTGAACATTTTTGTTTAAAGTTCAATAAATATTCTATGCAAGTTCTTCCACATTTGTTCGATTTCAATCTCTGTTTTCATATCCTATTTGTTTCTTATTTGAGTTAGCATACATTTTTTATAGAAACTATACAGTTTTTGGGTTTTGCAAAATTAGTAATTATTTTAAAGTGAATAGCTTAAAATCCCAAAAATCTACATAAAAATAAACTCACATAAGTTAATAGTGTGTGAAAACCCAAAATATTTAAAAATCTAAAAAAGAAAATTAAAATTGCTGAGGTAGACAGCTCTATTGGAGAGAGTTTTACTTAATTATATATATGATTTGTGTTGAAGCATTCCAACTCTTTGTCTTGTCATGGCACCTTCAAAATATGATGGGAACCTCAACATTTTGCAAGTCAGTTTCAGTTAAGTCGGGGATCAGCTCGAATTGAATGCCATCATCAATGTAAAATCATTCAAAATAATTTCCTGAAATATTTATACTATGACAAAGTAATAATAATAATTCTCTCCAACTTTTGAAAAAAACAAAAACTTAAATAAACGTATCCAAATTTATTTTATCCCTAAAAATAAGTTTGATAAAAAAAAAACAATCTTTGAAATTATCATTTCTATAGGTGAGATTTGTTGATCAACATACTATATATGTCTAAAAACTTATAATCAAATATTTTAAAATCTTTTCAGATTTAATTTGTTTTAAAATTGTTGATGATCCAATAACTCTATATTATTTCTATGTCTCTGATCAATATTCAATTGAATAACAGTGAATTATGAATTATTTTAAACTAGATGATTGCCCGCGCCTTGGCAGATTTATAATCTAATTATAAGTTTTTCATAACTTTCTTAACATCTGCAAATACCACACATTCATTTTGCACGAGAACGTAGAGCCACAAAACTCCCATTCAGCTCACTTGGAACCACTTTTTCATTCCCATTTGATTCAGATTTATGTGAGAAAAAAACATGAGAATTACGAAAAAACCTGTGACATAGTCTCTCTCAAAGCAATAATGTTTGATAATCAGAAATTGGCTTGTGTTGGTCAGAGTTGTGAACATCAAGATTTGACGGTAGAGATGTCGTTGTTGACGTTGAGAAGAAGCCGCAATAAAGAAGCGAGATCTCATGGTGGTGACATTTTGGGGTGCTTAGCATCGTGGATGTGGAGGCTAGGAACCTAGAAAACATGCAGCTTAGGTGAAAGTCATGAAGACTTAAAAACACGGGATCAATTTTGATTAGGTATGACAAAGTCATTGAGAAGCATATGCTTAAACAAGTCTTGTGGCTTAAAGATTGGATCTGGAAAAAGAACATTGTCTTTTTTTTTCTGTGTGTGTGTGTAATGGTAGTAATCAAAACAAAAGGATTGAAAACAAATATTAAAAAAATATAAGAAGCATTATGTCTTAGTATTTGAAACTCGATGGCTTGAAAACTCAAAGAAAATGAGCACAAATCTCTTAAAAAGTGAAATAAAAGTGATTTGACAAAATAAAAGCATAGATTGAGTTTTGATCGGTTTGATCGGTGGATCAAAACTCACACAAATAATCTGCTCTAATATCACATTGAATATGAATATGAATTGTATTGAATATTGTGTTGTATTAAGATTATTAAGGTTACCTATTTATATATAGTAGAGCTATGAGAATCAAACATTAATAAGATCATATGAATATATGATTGAGTTATGATGGAAATGATGCAGAATTATCAGTCTCTTATACTCTTCCCTAATAAGATGCTCAGTGATTTGGACCTGGTTTCACTATATTCGGTCAGAGTAATCGGAAGCCTCAAAACTTTTAGTTTGTAAGTTACATCGTGGGTCTTTCATATTTAGGTATGAACCACAATCCACAAAAAAACGAACAACGGCAAACTGTAAGTTTCTCAATTCTAACAAAACAAGAAAATGTAAGTAATTGGACCCTCAACCTTTGAACCTACCAGAAATGATACTAGCCACTTGGCCTATCTCTTTTATTTCCCATAATATATGCCCAAAAATACGCTTAACTTATCAATATGAGCCCATATATGTTTATCTAATTACTAGGAGTTTCAGAGCGCATAGGAGAGCAAAGAAAACATACATTTTGAAGAGTAAGAATTTGGAGCATCTAAATAAATAGCAAGTTGTAGATAAACGTTTGCGAAAGATAAACGTTTGCGAAACTAATTGCAATGAGGCAAAGAGCCCTTTCTAAGAAAAATAATCGAGTAGTTAATAGGCTCATACCGATAGATCAAGATCTTTCCTTTTAATTTTTTTTTTATAGCTTTTTTATACTATTTTGACTACATTGTCATTAGACGACTAAATAAGACAGGAAGGAAGAAAAGAAAACTAAAAGTTAACGATTGACCGGTAAGTCTCATCGGCTCTCCAATTCGCCGGAATAACAGCTTCAGCGACAATTATTTTACGAGTCTCGCCAGAAGTAAGTCTAATGTTGAACGGACCGCTCAAAGCACTGCCGGAGTTTACCTTCCACACGGCGGACCTCATTTCTTGCATGGGGATAAATCCTCCGCCCGCTGGTTGAATCTCAACGGAGGCCAAATCTCCGTCGCCGTTTTCGTAATCAACAACAAATGCAATGTAGTAGGGGTTTGCACCGGCGTCAATATGGAAAGCAATAGTAGTCCCTTGATATGAACACGGAGTACTGAAAATTAGTGAAACAGCATAATTAATACTTGAATGATACAATTTAGTAGAGTAGAGCTTTTTACAAAATAATCATAAAACATAAAAAGTTGATTTGTATTATGTAAGAGCATTTCTAATGTATGATAGCATTTTTCATACCAAAATGAAATAATTGCAAAATGCAATTAGATTTTTCTCTAATGTATGATTGTATTTTTCATTTGAAAAATATTATTTTAAATATATTCTTTTATTATTAATTAATAATTATACATATTTTTTTTTATTTTCAAAATAACCCATTATTTCTGAGTATATATATGAACCAAAAGACAAAAAGAAACCATTTCCAAACCAGAAACTGGATTGGACGACGTTTCTAAGCGAAATATCATAGAGTTTTAGGAGATGATAATTAATCTGTTATATACGTACCGTCTGTAAGCAACACGTATAACACCAGCGGCTCGAAGTTGATCGGCTTGGCCATGTCTGGCTAGTTTACCAATGGCTTTGCCGCTAAGGTCAAAGTGGACCGGTTCAGAGGCGCAAGGACCCCCTGGGCACTCGTCGGTTATCGTCACCCTTTTCGGTCTCCTTGAACACGCTGGATGCCCGTAGCACACAATCTAATAGTATATTTTACAATATGGTTGAGAAATATTAAAGATTTGTAACCCTATGACATACAGACTTGCATAATACGTAAGTCTTTTAAGACCAAATCTAGTCTGTATGACCTCCGGACACAAAAAAATAAATAAATATAACAAAAAAAGTTCATTTTATTGAATATATATACGTAAGAGCAATTCAATGGAGACACTACTAGTGTGGGTCTTATATACTTTATGTATATAAGACACTTTATAGAGTTTTGTTGTTTCCAAGCATACAATGGAGACATTTTTGATGGGCGTCTTAAAAACAAAATAATAAAATATTTTTTATAATAAATTTAAATAAAAATTTATGTTAACAACTTTTAAAACATAATATATTTTTAAAAATGTAATACATGAAAACATATCTTATTATATAAAGTTAAATGCATCAAAGTTAATAATTCATATGATTGTGACATGTGGTGAATCATTCGATTTAGATTTTGACACGTATCACGATTAAATTAAAATAAACATAAATTTAAGAAATATCATTGTTGTTAAAAAAATATAACAGTATAATATCTAAAAGAAAAAATAAATTAAAAAATAATAATATATTTCAATTAAAAAGAGGAAAATTTTTTTAATTAAAATATATAAAAACTAATCCTAGAAGAAAAAAGAATCTATTATTCACATCTTTATAAATGTATAAAATATGTTATAACTAGGCAAATTATTTTTTTAGACTTGAATCGACGAATAAGATGAGAATCTGATAAATCGATAAAAACAATCAGAATTGAGAAAACAAAATAAAAGAGAAATCCAATTTTTCTTTGAAATATGTAGCAAATTTTATATGTTAGTACTTCACATGATCGTGACACTTGTCAAATTTTGCAATTAAGATTTTGACACATATCGTGATTAAATAGTTTAGACGGGTCTATATCTAGTAAATTAAAAAATTAAAAAAATTGTAACCTTAACTTAAATTAATAATTTAAATTAAAAACCCGTGCAACATACGGATCCATATCTAATAAATTATAAAAGTGCAATTCAGAAACTAGAATTAAAATATCTTATTTTAGGTGTCAGAAACTTTGTCCACTCATATATTGACATGTGTCCGTTCTCAACTAAAAGAAAGATCTTATTTTAGACACTGATTTTAAACTTAAGACACTCTTCATAATTTTTTTATTAATTTATATTATTAAGAACCCTCCATTAGACCCTTTGAAATGACTATTGGGGTTGGTCTAAGTATCTAGATCTTATGGTAAAATAGGGAAACTAAGATTAATATGAACGAACCTGATAACATGTCCCACATCCTTGTCCATTGTTGAACAGTAAAGGTCCTCCGGCTGAAATCATAGCGTAAAAAGGTGGACTGGCAACTGCCGAGCCATATCCACAAGCTCCTCCTATACAAATGTCAATGACATATCTAAAATCAAAATTTTCAAAATATGTAATTAATTAATTACAAATACAAGGTAATACGTACGTACCGCTGCTACCGGCGCCGTCAGCCTCACCGTACCAAGTACCACCGGCGTTGTTCCAGCCGTCGGAATCTACTGTGACATTTTGGCAATAACAACACTTTAGTGATGCGACTGCGAAAAGAGCTAAGTATCTGTGTGGCGATGATGATGCCATTGATGATGATGATGATCCACTTTGATTGGCTTGAACAGTTTCTATAATGTTTGAAGTTATAAGTGACCATATTTGATTCGTTGAGTGATGATGATATTTATAATGGATTTTCTGGAATGATCTTTAACGATATTCATTCAATGTTTTAGAAAATTGTATATATGTGAATCTTGGTATCTATGGAAGTTATTTACTTCATAATCGTAAATTGGTTTTAAAGTCTGATATGGGAGATTAGTATAGGAGAAGATTTATATTAGTTAAATTATTGAAGTTATTTTATTATACTTGTTTAAGAAAATTCTCATATTTGTTATAAAATAAGTTTTTAGGCTAAAAACGACAAGAAAGCTAAATTTTTTTAACTCTACCATTTTTTATTTGTTATCTTCCGATTTTGATTTATAAGAAAATATTTGTATAATTTAGAATGGCTTTTATAAATGTGTATAATCGTTTCCTAAACTTATATATACTTTATTTAATTAAATACATTTTCTAAAATTTCTAATGATAGTATATTTAATTGGTTATACACTCAAATTTTGTAACTTTGAGTTCTACAAGCTCGTGCTTCAATTCTATTTAAATTTATAAATCTATTTTTAACTAATTTATTAAATATTTAGAAATATATTCCTAAATGTGTACGATCGAAATTTCAAAATTAGTATTTCACAAAACGTTCGTTTATATAACTGTATTTCACAAAATTTCGGAAAATTTTCCTAAATATGTAAAAAAACTGTGTAATAGTTTAGAAAAGTTTGTTCTAATAATTTTAAAGACTTCTTAAATGTTTATTTGGACAGTTACATTAAATATAAAACTTGTTTGACTTTGTCTTTATGAGTGTTGTCTAAATTACATGCTAAATATTGGACAAATACTAATGTAATAGTCTGTATAAATCAAATAATATGTACATTTAAATTTAGTATGTCTTTAGAAAGCCTGCATACAAATTTTGGAAGACATTCCTAAACATGTATGAAAACTCTTATAATATGTACGCTTTTAGGAAGCATGTGTACAAATTCTGGAAGCCCTTTACAAACCTGTATAAATTCTTCTTAATCATCTTTTCCATCACCTTTTAGTGCTTCAATAGGGTATAGGGAGTCAGCAATCTTTTGAGATACTCATCGATCCTGAAGCAAAATATAATAAAATGTATGAATATTCTCTAGAATTAAACTCATCGGGCTCTGAGATATTGATATCTCGGAAGCCCTTCCTAAACATGTATAAATCTTTCCTAATTCGCCTTCAGATTCTTCTTAATTCACAGACATCATGCAAACACCAAAGCTTTACCTGGGAGCAGCCAAATGAACTGATAACATAGAAAACCATGATGATTCTGGTAGAACATAGATGTCTAACTTCTATAAACATGATTTAGGAAAGCTATTCTAATTTTTTTTACTGCGGCAAACAAAGGGATGAAAGGTCCATTGCGATCAACATAAACCTCATGTTAGAAGAGCCATTAAACCATGATAAGAACATATACTTTAAAGACAAAAAACTTACCAAGACAAATGATCCAAAGATAGTAACAAATACAATTACACTAACGAAAGCTTTGTCTTCCCCAAGCACTTAAGGAACACATATCAATTACCAAAAAAGCCCAGAACAATGATACAAAACAAAGTTAATTGCCGAATTCAAAGCAAGATACTAACTAAAAGAATGAAGAAATCAGCATCTTAAAGTGTCAGCCGACTAGGTAAGTGTAAGTAGTGAAGTCCATGATGGTATTGATTTTAGAGAGAGCCCAGAAACCAGTTAAAAAAAAAAAAATGCAATTATAAACAAACAAGTCATTAAATTTATCTACATAGAACAAAAACCAGTCTAACTAGTTGAATCTGTCATAACTCAGATTTTTATTCATACCACCAACACAAATTTTGAGCAAAGCTTACAATCTAATAACAAAGTATCATAAATCTTGAAATTTCTGAGCTCAAATGTTAGAGATAGATTTAGTACCCCTCACAAAAGCTTTTTATAGATTAAGAAAATGTCCATTTAAAACACTAATTTCGTCTTTGGAATTAGGTCAGTTCGATTAAATAGAAATATTCTAAAATTTGAAGTCTCGAAAAAAAGAAAATGGATCCCGATAAGAATGGAAACTATGCACATTCCGAAAAGGAATGATTCCTCCTCAAACCTGCCTCTGTCCAGTATAAAAGGAGGGCATCCCTTTGAAGAAAGATTTCATTCACAACTTTAGACTTGAAACGTAGGGCAATTAATAGCTTTCAGCTTTAGATCTCAGTTCATTCTCTTTAAAGTTAGGTCGGAGTTCTTTTCTGACGACCTAAATCTCTTATACTCTTCGAGCTCCAGCTGATATTAATAAAACTTTATCTTTTACCCCCACAATCTCTTTATTTTTTCTTGGGACTATTTTGAAATCTTATAATTAGCGCCGATTGTGGGGATTAAAAGATACAAGTCCGTCTACTCACGCCAAAACTCGAAGATGACCACGGTAAAATAGCCTGGTGACGTTAACAGCACTCAGCAGCCCGTCCTCAACACTCAGTAGCCCGGTGGCAGCTCCAACACCTAGCAGCTCGGCAACGCTAACCAAGCCGGACCACAGCTCGGGAAGGAATCCAACCTTCCAATTGTTCAAGATCCCCTCAACCTCAATGAGGATAACGTAATTCCGCCTCCTCCACCACCGCCTGCAGCAACCGACATAACTGCCCTCTTACAGTCCTTCATGACACAGATGGACAACAAGATGAACAAGCAGATCAGGGCTATGAAGGCTCAGCAGATCGCGTACCTCGAAACGCTATGCGAAACCCGACCAAACATCCCACCTCGGGACGCAGATGACGCCGAGACTGGCACTCCCAAGGCGATACCGATTTCACCAGGGACCACCACATCGGGAGCCAAACGCCTCATCTTCGGCGACACACCTACTTCAGCGCGGGATAGAGGAGATCAATACGCCAAGGATTCCAGCACCCGATCTAAACACGAATCCTGCCTCACCGCCCTAACGTCCACCTCCGAACCCACCCCCTACCCATCATATTCACCGAAGCCGTCGCCCAAGGACTGAACCGTCCATACAACGATCCTCTGGTCATCTCCCTACGCATCAGATCAGACGAGGTGTCCAAAGTCTTCATCGACACTGTCAGCTCGGTTGACCTGATCTTAAAATCCACGCTTGTTAAAATGGGCATCAAGGACAAACAGATAAAAGTAGCTCCAAAGGCACTCACGGGCTTCACCAGCGACTCCACCTCCACTATTGAAACGATAAAGCTACCTGTGATAACTACATGGGGTATTATCACGACGCTTAAGTTCGACGTCATCGACAAGCCGGCCATCTACAACGTCATCCTCAGGACACTGTGGCTCAGTTCCATGCATGCCATTCCCTTCCCGTTCCATCAGTGTCTCAAGTACCCGAGCAGAAAAGGAATCATCACAATCCGAGGTGATCAGCACGAATCCCGATCTTGCTTTATCGCTTAGCAACGAGTCCGGCACTTGTCTACATTCATTATCGATAGCCTGGATCCCCGACTCATGTACCACGAAAAGCCGAAGAATGACCTGGTTGTACAAGTCAGCATTGACATCGAGCATCCAGAACGATGCGTCAGGATTGGAAACGAGCTATTACCCAGCATGCGCGATAACCTCATAGACTTTCTCCGCGAAAACGTCGGCACCTTTGCTTAGTCCATGACAGATATGAAAGGTATCAGTCCCGACATCACCAGCCACGAGCTGAACGTTGATGTCACATTCAAACCAATCAGACAGAAGAACCGCAAGCTCGACCCAGAACGAGCCTAGGCCGTCCAAGACGAAGTCGACAAACTACTGGCAGCTGGATCAATTACTGAAGTCAAATACCCAGACTGGCTCGCCAATTCCGTGGTAGTTAAGAAGAAGAATGGCAAGTGGCGCATCTGCATTGACTTAGCCGACCTTAACAAGGCCTGTCCTAAGGACAGCTTTCCGTTGCCACGCATTGACCAACTCGTCGATGCCAACACCGGCAACGAGGTGCTATCTTTTATGGATGCATTTTCGGGCTACAATCAGATCGTGATGCACCCCGATGATCGCGACAAGACATCGTTCATCACGAATAGGGAAACGTACTGTTACAAGGTGATGCCGTTCGGACTAAAAAACACCGGTGCCACTTACTAGCGACTGGTAAACAAGATGTTCACTAACAAGCTCGGGCATACAATGGAAGTCTACATCAACGACATGCTCGTCAAGTCTGTGAAGGCCGACCATCAAATCACAAACCTCTGGGAATGCTTCCTGATCCTGAACACATACGACATGAAGCTGAATCCTGCCAATTGTACCTTTGCAGTCACAAATGGTGAAATCCTCTGTTATCTTGTCACCCAGCGCGGCATCGAGGCCAAACCGAAGCAGACTACGACCATCCTCGAACTACCTCCTCCAAGGAACACCCGCAACGTCAAGCGTTTAACCGGACGGATTGCCGCCCTCAATCGTTTCATCTAAAGATCTACGGATAAATGTCTCCCATTCTACTAGATTTTTTGTAGCAACAAATGCTTCTCATGGGACGACAAATGCGAAGACTCCTTCCAGCAACTGAAACCTGTCTCTCGATGCGACATGTCCTTGCCAAACCCGAAGACGACGAAACCATGTACTTATATGTCGCTCTATCCATCTCGGCTATCAGCGGTATACTAGTCCGGGAAGACCGAGGTGAACAGAAACCGGTCTTCTATGTTAGTAAAAGTTTAGACAGCGCGGAGATACTCGACCTTGGAGAAATTAGCCCTCACAGTAGTCGTCTCATCCCGAAAGGTGCGTCCTTACTTCCAGTCTCACACGATCGCCGTACTCACAAGTCAACAACTCCGGACTATCCTCCACAGCCCGATCCAGTCTGGACGAATGGATAAATGGGCAGTCAAACTTTCAGAGTTCGACATCGACTACCGCAC